AGATTGGACTCAATGATCCCTCCCAGCTCCAGAGTTATGATCCTATAATCCAGAAGTGAAGTCACTTCCCTGCACTTCTCTGTCTTTATCTATAAAATGAGGGGATTGGACTGGGTGGTTTCTGAGTTCTCTTCTAGCCCTACACCTGTGACCCTGTGGTCTTGAAGTCATAACCTCTCTGTGCCTCAGTTTCCCCATATGTAAAATGAAGGGGTTGCCTTATATGACCTCCAAAGTCCCTCCCAGCTCTACGTCTGAGATCCTATGATCTTGAAGTCACAACCTCTCTGTGCCTCAGTTTCCTCCTTTAAAACGAGGTACTCCAGTGGCCCTTTCAGATCTCCATGAGCCACCCTCCCCCTGGAGTCTTCCCCCTAATATCAGAAGCTGCTAGAGTATGGGCTTCTTACCATCCTCAGGAGGCAGCTGGAGTGGGGCAGGACCGGGCTGGGTCATGGTGAAGAGAGTGTCGGAGATGTCGGACAGGAAGCAGTCGAGGTCGAGGTGCTGCCGGCCCCCCGGCTCTTCTTCGGGCCCCCCCAGCAGCACCGGTACCACACTGGAGAAGAGCTGCTCGCACCATCGTTCTCGTGGCCTCCACCCCCCCTCCGCCTGGGGAGATGGCACCGACCAGCAATCCAGTGGGACAGGGGGTCACCCTACTGTCTGCTCCCTCCATCACCCAACCCCTGCTTACAGGGACAGCTCCTATCAGTGATCCTGCAGAGGTTGGCGGGGGGCTCCAGTGTATATACTTCTCCCCTCTCTGGCTGGGGAGATGGTGCTGCCCAGCCAACTGGTAGACCAGGAATCCCCCCACTTCCTACCCCCATGAGCTTTTTCTCTGCCCCTGCTTCTATCCCCTTGTGGCAGATTTTTTTTCTCTGATTTTTTTTTTTTTAAATCACATTCCCTTCTCCAACATACAGTTTTTCATCTCCCTCCCTCTTCCCCAGCTCTTCCTTTGCTCCCCAGGGGCACCTACCTGCTTAGGGGCCAAGAGGTCCCCTTCCCTGCTGGATTTTCGGAGCTGCAGGGACACAGAGAAGTTGGATTCCAGCATGCAGCACCAAAACATCCCCTCCACCTTCCCACCATCAGGAGCCCCTCTCCCCCAGGTCCCTGGCTCCAGGAGGCGGGAGGACATGAAGGTACCACATAACCACTAGGTGGTGCTGCAAGGCTGGCTGTAGAGAAAGGGATTTCCATCCAGGGAAGGGTGGGGACCCAAGAAGGGCTGGTAGGTCACTAGAGGAGATATGGGGCCAGTCTGGGGCTTCCAGCCCCATCCCTGACTCCTGGGAGTGTCTCATCCTGGAAAGACTATGCTTTGGACACAGCTCTGGGACCTGAGCTGGCTTCTGTGGGGAGCCTGGCCCCGGGGGTACAAACCCTGCTCTGACACACTTACCCGCTTCTTGTAGTAAATCCGCCACTTGTGGTACTCTCGCATGACAACCTCAATCCTCCGCTTCCAATAATTTCCCTCCAGCACCACGGCCTGGGGAGGGGGAGCACAGGGCCCATGGGAAGGTCATGAAGCACAAGGCAGGGAGATCCTAGAAGCACCTTCCCAATTCTTCTTCCTTCCCCAACCTCAACCCTCCCAATTCTGTCCCTGACAGCCCGGGTCCTTTTGCCCCAGTTAAGGCAGTCTACAGTCAGAGAGGTGGTGGAGGGAGGAAGACAGGGGGCTGGCCCCCCCAGTGAAAGTCCAGGGGCAGGCTGTGTCAATCACCCTTCAGAGGAGAGGTGGCTGATCCGGTGGGGGCGGATTTCGAATACCTCTGGTTTCCGGTGCTCATCAGCCTCAGACCCCTGCAGGGGGGTCACGAAACCACATACGGGACTCTTCCTTCGCTGGACATCTAGGAAGAGGGTGGGCCAAGTCAGGCCACAGGGGACTCCTGTTCTCCCAGGCCTCAATGTCCCAGCTCCTTCCCTCCCCTTGACACTAGGGAGACAGATTACCCCCCAACACCCTGCTCACGATGACAGAGGGATGCCATTAAGACTACAGGATGTACTCTTATCAATCGGTCCCAGGCCCAGCCCCAGGCTCATCTCCTCCAGTAAGGCACCCGAACTATACCTTCTCTCTTTTCTGCCATAGCAAAGACTTCTTGTCCCCTTCATTTTGCAGAAAGCCCTGGGTTCAGGTGCTGCCTCTAACACAGACTAGCTATGTCACACTGGGTAATCTTTTAGTATCCCCCAGATAACTCTCTAAGACCATAAATTGCAAAGCAGATGCCCATATGTGCTGGTCAAAGGACTTCCTCTCTGGTAATTCCCTATAATACTAATTAAATCACAGATTCAATCAGAAACAAATTGTTCCATCTCATGAGTTATTTTTGTGTGCATGTGTGTGTGTGTGGGGGGGGTATGCCTCCAGCTGGAGGGATAGCCCCTCAAGGGCAGGGTCTGAGCCTCATCCTTCCTGGAGCTCCCTTAGCTGGGCCAGGGCCATGCCCCAAAGGAGGCTCAGCAGACACTTGGTGAAGGAATGAAAAGGTGAGAACACAAAGTTCTAGAAGCAGAAAGGACCTCCCTCTGAGGTTGTCTAGTCCAAGCTCTTCATTTTCTAGATCAGGGGAACGGAGCTCCGGGAGGTGAAGTCACATGGATAGTAAAGGTCTAAGGAGTGATCTGAATCCAGGCCACAGACAGTGTTCTCACACACGACCACACCAGAGGGCGGCTGGTGCCACCAATACCACCCCGCCCTTCACAAGAGTTCCAGAGCCACACAAGGGGATTCTCACTTCTGTACTAGACTTCCTCCGTAGTACTGTTATTATTAATATTAACAAATTGGGGGGGCAGCTAGGTGGCACAGTGGATAGAGCACTGGCCCTGGAGTTAGGAGGACCCGAGTTCAAATTTGGCCTCAGACACTTACTAGCTGTGTGACCCTAGGCAAGTCACTTACTCCCAATTGCCCCCCCCCCCAAAACCCAACAAATTGTGGAGGTAGCACATTGCAGTGGATAAAGAGCTGACACTTGGAGTTAGGAAGACCTGGGTTCAAGTCTCACCTCTGACCCTTGGCTTTGTGGCCCTGGCCAAGTCTCTTCACCTCTGATTGCCCCAGATGACTCCCCAAGACAGAGCCTGCCCACCTGGGGCACACATAGCCCCAGGAGGCCTGAGGACCTTGCCAAGAGGATAAAGGGAATATGTGGGCACTAGCCATAGAGTAGTACAGTGGGAAGGTTCAAATTCTCCCTCTCATGCCCTGTGACTTGGGGCAGGTGCCTTAACCAGCCTGGGACTCAGGTTCCTTGGATATGAAATGAGGGGTTTGGACTAGCTGGCCCTTGGGGTCCCCTCCAACTTTCCATGCCTAATCCTAGGTGTTGAGCCTGCAAGACAGCGCCTTAGAGGCTAGACCCCCGAATCGAAGTGCAGCAGCCAAGCTTTCGCTGGAGGAGGGAGGCGAGCCTTTGAGCATGCCCAGCCTGAACTCAGTCGGGCAAGGCCTCACCTACTGAGCTCCCAGGTATCAAGCTTGGAAAGGAGGCCCAGGAGACAAACCACCCATCATTATCTGGGCTCCAGGGAAGGAATTAGCAAGAGAGCTGCACTCTCCTTCCTCCTCACACCTGGAAGACCTTGGGCAGTCCTTTCATCCTCATCCCCATCCTGGGAAAGATTCTCAGAGAGCTGGAGAGGGTCCAGAGAGAGGGAGCTCAGAGGATCTGCAGGGGCAGGGAGACGATGGGGAAGGCCAGTCTAAGAATGACAGAAGCCTTTCCTACTGCTCAGTCTCATGGGGGCTGGTCTTATCTTCCAGGCTCCATTAAGGGACTATGTTTCCTACTTCTCCTCCTGCCTCTCTATTATCTGCCTCAGTTTCCTCATCTGTAAGATGGAGATAATATCTACCTCTCAGGGTTAGGGTGAGGAGAGGATGAATGAACACCTTAAAAGCCCTTTGCAAACCTTAAGGCATGATGTAAACGCTAGCTATTATTGGTGGAATGGAGCACAGGGAGGCATCTTCACTAAAAACACTTGCTGTTTTTGGAAAGAGCATCAGATTCAGAGAGTTCAGACCTGGGTTCGGGTCCTGACTCTACCGCTTACAGCTGTACCTCAGTTTCCTCACCTGTAAGATGGTGATCAAATAGTACTCACTTTGGAAATTCTAATTCTTTAAAGAATAGTGGAGGCAGGCCCTCCACTAGTGTAGATTGCAACCCTTCTATAACTTAGTTGACAGTCTTTAAGAACTGCTGAAGCAGAAAAATTCATCGCCTTTTGGCCTTTCTGGTGATGAGTATCTCAGCTGAGTTGGCTGATCCTGAGATGAGAGACAGAGCCTATCCTGCGGCCTCCCACACTGGCAGGTTCATAGATCTCTAGAGCTGTAAGGGACCTCAGAGTGCATCTAATCCAAGCTCTTCATTTCATAGATGATGTAAGTGAGGACCACAAGAAAAAGTGATTTGCCCAAGGTCACACAACCAGTAACCATCAGAGGCAGGGTGTGGACCTGGGTCCTCTGGTCCTAGAAGCAATGCTTTTCCTCTTGCACCACAGCAAAGCCTATGCTTGTCCTCCTCTGGCAGTACTTCTAGAAGTTGAGGTTCCTTCCGCACCACCAACCAGGCAGCAGGGGTGTCATCTAGCCAGCCGGAGAAGACCATGAGTCCTTATGAATGAGAAGTAGAGTGGGGATGTGATCAAAGGCCTCTAGTGTTTCCCCACATGTAGAATGAGTGGATGGGACTAAATCAGAGGAACCTAAGTTCACCCCTGATGAAATCTCAGGTTGAAGAGAGACCCCACCCACTTCCAACTTCCCTTAGCTAACTAAGGCAAATGTGGCGGCAGTCTGGGGAAGCTGAGGGACCCCTTCTCAGAGTCATAAAATAAAATGCATAACAACTGTATTGAAATACAGGGACCCAGATTTTTTTTTTTAGGCAATTGGGGTTAAGTGACTCGCCCAGGGTCACACAGCTAGTAAGTATCTGAGGTGGGATTTGAATCCAAGTCTCTCTGACTTGAAGCCCAGTGTTCTAGCCTCTGAAGAGAAGGATGTGGCTTTGCTTCAAGTTTTATTTGGGATTGTCTCATTTTAATCTTTGTAACCCCCTGTAAAAATTTATCAAATGAAATATTTGTAAAAAGTGGTAAGCACAGTGCTTGGCTCAAAGTAGGTGCTGTATAAATACTTTTTGTCTTCCCAAAGCCCGGCATACAGTAGGTGCTAACGAAATGCTTGTTGATTGAAATCTTGCAGCTACAGCCCTGGCTGAAAGGAAGAAGTCTTTCAGATGGCCCCAGGGATAGATGTGAGTCCAGACTTGGGATTTCATTGATGTAGGGAACTCCAGGATGAGGAAAGTTCATTCACTAAGGCAGACCGGCATTTTCTTTGCTACCTGTTGCCTGGGGCACAGAGAGTTGCTCCAGGTCACTGAGGCAATACGTTCAAGGTGGAAATTGAAGCCAGGCCTTCCTGACTCTGAGGTCTTGGAGTGAGGTGGGGCAAAAATCAGGTGCTCATCCACCCCTGAGAGAGGATAGGCTGAGTATATGAACATGTTCCAGGCACCAATGGACAAGCCTTGAGTGACCCATCCACCTTAGTTAGCTAAGAGCAGTTGGAAGTGGGCGAGGCCTTTCTTTAACCTGAGATGATATAAGGGGGGTGACCTTAGGTTCCCTCAAATTGACCGACAAAACCTCGAGTTCAACGGACTGTGGATCTGACCCCAGGGATGTAGCTGGTGTTCTGAGCCAAGCACCCTTGCCATCTGGTGGGCAAGGCACCATATCTAGAGTCAGAGGGTGCAGGGTTTGAATCCTGGCTGCTGCTGCCCATCTGGGGGACCTTGGACAAGTTACTTCATCTCTTAGGTCCTTAGTATCCTCTTGTATCAAAGAGGGGGCTGGACTGTCTCCTAGGATCAGAGCTGCCAAGGTACTAGTTCAACCCCCTCAAGTTACAGATGAGGAAACTGAGGCCTAGTGAGTCCAGGTGTCACCCAGCTGAGTCCTAGCTGCCAGAATTCTAACACAGCACATCAGGGGTGGGATTTGACCTCAAAGTCCCTCCTTCCTCTGACCGCACTCCACATCTATGCTACTAGGAGCCCAAGTCAGGGGAAGGCTCCCAGATTCTGGATGGAGAGATGTGTGTTGAACCTGAGAAGGCCACGACAGGGGGAGAAGCACAAAGCCTGGTGCAGCTGAGGCAGGGAGCAAGGGAAAGCGGAAGCCCTAGCCCAGCTACCCGAAGCCCACTGGCTGCCCACCCCCACTCACACTGGATGTACCAGGCCCTCCAGATTGCGTTGTTGAGGCGAATCTTGTCTCTGCAGAGTAGCTTCAGGCCTTTGAAGTTCTTCCACTTGGGAGACACCAGTTTCCCACTGTGAAGGGCAGAGCAGGTCTGGGTTAGGGAGGACACAGAGACGGAAGCGGGGAAAGCCAGTCCCTTCTCCCAGCTCTGGTCACCACCTCCAATCCTTGTACAATGGCAGCAGGCAGGCACCTGGTATGGCCACCTCCCCCCATCTTCCCCATGTGCCTGTCACCTTCTCTGAAATTCCCCTTTCACTCCTTTGAGTAAAGGCACAAAAAACACAAAAGTCCTCATTAAAATGCAAATTTCAGCTGTGTTATGGTGTGGTTTGGTGGAAAGACCCCTGTACTAGGAGTCAGGACCCTGGGGAGCCTGTCCTGGATTTACCAGTGATTCTCTGTGTGATATTGGGGAAGTCCCTACCCCGCTATTGCCATAGCCTGCTAACAGGGCGCTCTTCCTCAAGCCTCCTCTCATTCCCCCCTATTCTCCACCCAGCTGCTAAACGGATTTTCCCTAAAGTATAATTTGGATCATGTCACTCCCCTACTCAATAAACTCCAGGCCCCTTACTGCCATATATAAATGCCTTTCTTTGATATGCAACATTCTTCCCAATTTGGCTTCAATCTACCTTCCCAGTCTCCTTACATTTGACTCTCTTCCCTCCCTTCTATAGTCCAGCCACGCAGGCCTATTTGTTATTTCTCCTACAGAATGCTCTATCTCCCCCCTCCCTGCCTTTGCTCTAGTCTGGTCTGCACTCCTGCCTCACACCTGCCTCACAGAATCCCCGCTTTCCTTCTAGTGTCTGTTCAAATACATTAAGCCTTTCCTTCCTCCCACCAGCTACTTGTGTATCCCATTTCCCCAAACTGTACTGTATTCATTTTGTATATTTTCTGTGTCCCCAAAGATGTGTATGGGTTGTTTCCTCCACTAGAATGCAAGCTCCTTGAAGGCAGGGCCTGTTTGCCTTTTGTTTTAGTATGTCCAATGCTTAGCACAGCACCTTGTGCACAGTAAGGGCTTAATAAATGTTAAGTGATCTATTCCCCTCTCTGGACCTCAGTTTCCCTCTTTCATTTCTAACATTCACAGCTCTATCATTATATTATCTGAGAAACATAGTAACACATTAACTCAGTATCATCCCTTAACACCTTTGCTGAAATTACTCTATCAGACAGCCCAACAGAGGCGCGCAATGAGAAATGAGACACGCTAGGTTCGGCTGTGATGGGGAGAGTAAAGGCCAGGAAAATAGAGAAGAGGCACAGGACAGGGAGAAGATCCTTCTCCCATCCCTTCTCAGCAGCCTCTTTTCCCTCTCAGCATTCTTAATCCTGGTTCCCTCCTGGTTTCCCCAGTTCCCAATACATCCCCTGTCCTGTGTACTGCTCCCAGAGGCCTCATAACCTCTGCTGAGGAGACAGGCACCTACACCCTGCCTTATCTGCACGGCTGCAGGGGGACTTTCGGAAGGAAAAAAAGCCACCACAAGTGGAAAGCCAAAGTCACTGCCTATGGGGAGCTCTTGGTCTGGCACGGCCCCCTCTGACCTCCTGGCTGGGTCTGGTTAGGCGTGTTCCCTAGAATCCAAATCCCTGGGAGGTGTCCAACTGCTCAGGTCCCAGCTTTTCCCTGTAGAGTATCAAGAAATGAGGTACAGGGAGAGAAGTTGCTGCTGCAGGGAAGTGTGCCCCCTCCCGTGATAACACCATGAGATCAAACTTCATTTGCCCTATGCTAGTTACAGCCTGTTCCAGGAATATGCCCTGGGACAAGTTCAGGTCAGTCTGGCATCTTGGAGAATGGACACTGTCAATGATTCTCTCTACTGCACAGGCCCCAAAGACCTCAGACTCACAGGAGGATCTCAGAGGTCCTTTTACGGGGGGGGAAACTGAGGCACAGGGAAATGAAGTGACTTGCCTAGCTCACAGATCTAGTAAGCCTCTGAGGTGGGATGAGCTCAGGTCCTCTGACTCTTTCTGTGTTCCTCTGCCCTTCAGGGAGTCTGGTTGAACTCAGGCCTCTTCATTTCCTGGCTCAGCCTTGGGGCTTGGGAAGAAACTCAAAGATTTAAGCTGGTTTATCGGAAGGCTCTAGTACCAAAGTGTGCTCCTTCCCCTGCCCCTGCCCCTGTGTTTTTGTGAGGATATGTGCTTATCTGTGGCTCTGTCCCTAGCTCTCCTGCCGCCTCTTTCCACCCCCATCTGTGCCTTTCCTGGTCTCCAGGCTGTGTATTTGTTCAGTAGCAGCTGGAGGGCACTGGGCTGAGGCCCCGGGAATGAGAGGCCTCATTGCTCTAACACAGTGTACATAATACCAGGCACAAGCACGTCCTTTCTCTCCTGTCCCAGAAAAAAAACACCATCTGGGAAGGAAGAAGAAATGGAGGGTAGGGAGGGTGGGGCTTATATAGCCCCTTTACCCCCCACACAAACTGAGCTGTGCTCTCCCCATCTGGAGCCTCTGGCTGGAAGGGACCAAGCCCCTCATTTTTACAGATAAGGAAACTAGACCCAGAGTGGTTAAGTGATTTGCCCAGGATCACAGAGCAGAGGCAAGATTTGAACCTGGGTCTTCTGAGCTCCAAGTCCAGCACACTAGCCACTGTGCAAGCTATCTCTGGCAGGCCAAGGAATGGGGAAAGGAGGAATGGACTGAGTCTGGAGGGGTCAGGCTAAAAGTTTTGAAAGGAATGGGAGAGAATTGCTAAGCCTTCAATGGCAAACACTTTAAAAGCCTAAGCAGGTGAAGTGAATTGGGATGTGGAGCAGAGACCCGAGGCCCAGCCAGGGCAGGGGCTCGATCAGTTACTCCAAAGCCACTTGATAAGTCTAAAGGCAAGAGTGGAGCCCTGCTCCCAAGCAGGGACCACCTTCCGTTTTAAGATTCCTTGGATTCTGGAAAAAACATAAGAACAGTAGGAGCTAAAGGGGACTTTATAAATGCAGCGGCTGTGGGGGCAGGTAGATGGCGCAGTGGATAGAGCTCTGGCCTTGGAGTCAGGAGGACCTGAGTTCAAATCCGGCCTCAGACACTTGACACTAGCTGTGTGACCCCGGGCAAGTCACTTAACCCTGATTGCCTTGCTAAAACAAAACAAAACAAAAAAAAACTTCATAAAATAAATGCAGTGGCTGTGTATACGGTGGGGTCTGCCAGTGTATGGAGCACATCTGAAAGACTCGAGACGTCACATACTTGTATTCTGTACAAGTTTATCGGTGCCCCCGTGCAGGGGAGCCTCTCACAGGAGATCTTTGTCTGGAATGATGAGTGGGAGCCTGTTTGCTTTCTCTCTTCCGTTCTATTTTGTATCAACAATTGCAAATCCCCCATACATATCTTTTCCAGGCAGGTGGTGCAATGGGCAGATAAGTCAGGATAATTAATAATAATGGTTAAGTCAGGAGGAATTGAGTTCAAATCTAGCCTCAGACACTTAGTATCTATGTGACCCTGGGCAAGTCACTTCACCCTGTTTGCCTCAGTTTCCTCATCTGTAAAATGAGCTGGAGAAGCAAATAACAAACCATTCCAGTATCTCTGCCAAGAAAACCCCAAATGGGGGCACAGAAAGTCGGACACACTGACACAACTCGAAAACAACATATCCCTGTATGCATAGCTTGCTCTGTAATTAGTTTCTTTGTTCGGATATTTTACACTCAGATATTCTGAGTATAGTTTACTTTGATCATTCCATTTTGACTTTTTATCTATATATGTCCTGTCATCCAGTCTGAGTACAACCCAGGGATTCACAGATGTGCCCCCCAGGCTGTCCAGAACAAGGTTTGGGGGTGGTTGGGAAGAAGCCCACCCCTGGTATGGCCGAGGGATCACTGAGCATGCTGGACACAGATTTGATATGGAGCTAACATGGGGACACACAGCTTAGATGGTGGGGTGGCCATCCTTGGAGATAGCCAACCTTTACTGAAACAAGTGATTTGGATAATTGATGTATATTTCATCCTCTATTGAGACTAACTGAGGTGGATGATAAAGGGGGAAGAAGGACCCGCTCAATGTCAATTTCGGACTTGAAAAGTACAGGTTAGTTGAGCCTGCCACCCAGCCCGCTGGTCAAGTATCCTGGGGCCCAGCCCTATGTGGCCGATAGGATCACACTTGAGGATCTGTGTGTCCTTTCTTCACTACCTCATTCAATGATTCAGCTCTTTAGGGGAGTGTGCCAAACAGTTACTTTTCCTCAATATGTGAAGAATTTGGTCACCTGGACCCATACAGGGTGTGGAGAAAGAGGGGGTAAGGAGCTAGAGCCTGAGACTGGGAGGAGGATGCCTGGGTTTGTCCAGCTCTGTCAGCTACTGTGTGGTCTGGAGAAAACCATGGAATTATAGAATCTTAGAGGTAGAAGGCGTCTAGCATCCGTAATGCAGGCCCTCATCACCTCTAACCTGGATCATTGCAGAAGCCTCCTAACTGGCCTCTCTCCCTCCAGCCTCTTCCCTCTCCAATCCATTCTCCGTGTGGCTTCCCTAAAGCACAGATCTAGGTAACATTCCTGCTCAGTAAGCCCCACTGGCTCCCTATGGTCCCTGGGGTCAAACACACACTCCTCTGTCGGTCATTTAAAGCCCTTCACAACCTGGCTCCCACCTCCCTTTCCAGCCTCATTCTATATAACCCTTCACTCACTCTGCGGTGTAAAGCAGCCACATATGAGACATTCCATCGGCATTTGCCGAGGCCGTCCCCTCTGACTACAATGCTCCACCTGCTCATCTCGGTTTAATTCAAAGATCAGGGTCACCTCCAACAGTAAGCCTTCTCTGATCTCTTCAGGCGCTAGTGCCTCACGCCCCCGCTCCCACATTACCCGGTGCTTATCTGGTAAACTGTTCTTAGTTAGAACACTATTAGAACATTAGAGCCTGTACTTAGATTTGCTTAGAACTGACCTCAGACACTTATTAGTTGTGTGATCTTGGGAAAGTCACTTAAATCTCTGAGTCTCAGTTTCCTCAGCTGTAATTTGAGGTTGGATTTGATGGCTTCTAAATGATGTTTTTGTATTTGTATTTGTTGCTATTTCATTTGTCTTTATTTTGTATACACTTATACTGGCCCATGCTATCTCTCCCTATAGAATGTAAGCTCGAGGGCAGGGACTATTTCATTTGTCTTTGTCTTCCCAGTCCCTGGCACAGTGCCAGGCACATAGTAGATAGTTAATAAATGCTTGTTGGCTGGCTGATGGATTCTCCCAGCCAGGGCAGGAGTCTTTTTTAAGGCGTCCCTGACAGATGGACATCCAATGTCCTCCTGAACACTTCTACTGACCAGAGAGCTCACAGTATCACAAGATGCCCGGTCCACCCAATTCTGGGATAGCTCTGGTTGTTAGAAAGCTCTTCCTTACAGTGAAGTTAAATCTTCCTCCCTGTAGCTTCTACTCTTGGTCCTAATTCTGCCCCCTGGAACGGAAGAGACTGACTCTAGCCCCTAGCCAGGTGCCCAGTCTCCATGCCCATGCCATGTTCCATGCCCTATCTCCATGATGCATCAGCTGAGCTGACCTCTTCTGTCTCCCAGCATGCCCTTCCCTCCTGCCATTCTCTATTTCTGCAATGCCCTTCTAATCCTGTTGAGTTCCTCCCCAATCTTTCCAACCTAACTCCAAAGCTACCTTTTCCATGTTGCCTCCCTGATACCTTAGGTCCATAATGACCTTCCCCTTGGACCTCACATAGAACTGGTTTTTGCATAGCCCCGATGGGCATACATACCATTGCAGTTTAGAATTCTTTTTGACTGTGTCTTCCCCAACTACTAGATGTTAAGCTCCATGAGGGCAGAGACCAAGTCTTTGTCTTTTCGAAACTTTGTAAGTTCCTACAGAAGATTATCTGAACACATTAAGAACTTATATCGCTTCCCACAGAAAATACTCCGAACACGGCACACATTTAATAAATGTTTCCTGAATGAATGACTTCCTTTCTCTATTTGACAGCTCTTCTCAAACATCGCCCTTGGTCTACTCTTCTCTAGGCTAAATACTCTCGGTTCCAGACCCCCTCATCATCCTGCCCATCTTCCTGTGCGTAGAGCAGCATCTTTGCTATTTTCTTCCCCAGAGGGAAGTCCTTCCAGGGGCAGTTAGGGTATTGCCAAGCATAGCTTAATATAGTCCTGGACTTGGAGTCTGGAAGAGGTACTCCCTTCACTTTACTAGTTGTGTGACCACATGCAAGTCACAATTATACTCTCTGAGCCTGCTTTCTCTTCTATAAAATGGGGATAATACTTGACACTGTAATAACTGTGTAACCTTAGGCAATTCATAACCCCCACCTCCAGCCTCTGTTTGTTATCTATAAAATGGGGATAACAACACTTGTAAAGAGGCAGCCGTGGTGAATGGATGAAGAAGTGAGCTTGAGAAGACCTGGGTTCAAGCCTTGCCTCCGACACATAGTGGCCACATAGGGACCCTAGGCAAGTCAATCAACCTGCAGGCAACTTCCTCAGACTACAAGTTGCAGAGGAGATGCTGGCAGACATTGGTAGGAGGTGCTTCCTCACCTGGGAGTTCCTTATAGCAATGAAATCACAGGGCCAGTCCCTATCTTGCAGTCTCTCCTTCCCAGGGATGTTGTAAGGCTTGGATGAGACCATATGGAAGGCCCTTCTGAAAACTCTGGAGCACCATTCAAATGCTGCTGCTGCTTCTCTGAATTTCACATTCTTCCTCCAGGAAACTGCCATTATCTAGCCTGTGCTGATTGCTGAGCCTCTCCAGCCCTCACTGGATCTGCTCCCCACTCTCGATCCCTGGTATTAACGCTGGTATTTTTTGCATCTATCCCTTCCAGCTTCCTAGCACCCCCCCCCCCCCCACCTCAGGCTAGGGAGAAGGAATACAAATACATAATATTATTTATATAAAACTTCAAATTTGCAAAACACTTAAAAATATGACCTCATTTGATACTTACAACAACTTTGTGAAAGCTGTAATTTTCCCTATTTTATAGATGTGGAAACTGAGGCCAAGATCAGTCAAGGGACTTGCCCTGGGTCACACAGCTAGTAAATTCAGTCCTGACTCCAAGCCTAGCACTGAACTTCCTGTGCCAGGCATTCCTCCAACTAAGTCATTGAGCGCCATTTTCAATGTTCTCACACCTAGAATTAGCCAATTCTTCCTTCTAGCGCTCACACACTCCAATACACGAACACATACGTTTGGTTATGGATTATGTTCCCAACTGCTGACAGAGGGTGTGCCCAGGTTTAAGAGGTCCATCCTAGGCTTGCCAGCCTACCAGGTTGGGGGGGGGACCCCTCAGAGCTCATATCCCCCCCTGGGAAGAGTGATTGTCTGGGGTCTGGAGTCTGCCCACTTCCACCCTTGCGGGAGGCCAGCTTAACATTAGAAGACAGGACTCCTGGGTTCTTGTGACACTGCCTCTCTGGGCAGCTCGGACTATTTTTAGAGCACATGTGTTACCACAGGGGAGGGGAAGGAGAGGGGCTGAAGCCATTTGGGGGGAGCTGGCTTGTAAAGGGGAAATCTTCTCTCTGGGGGAAGGACAGGGCTCACAGTGGCCAGTCCCAGAGTGAGACCCATCCCCCCAGGCTTGGCCCACTGTCCACCTGTCCGCAAATCTGAAGGCAGGACAGGACAGCAGGGAAGGAAAGGAAGGAGGAACAGCTCTGATGCCACATGAAGGACTCAAAGAAACGCATGCCCCACAGCCTCTGGACAACAACTTTGGCCCTGCATCGTAGGGACAGTGGGGAACCTGGCTGAGTGTTCGTGGGATGCACCCTGCTCTCAGGATTTTCTCTTGGGAGAACACAGGAGTAGTGGTCCCAGTGTCTGAAAGCCTCTCCTTATGATCTAACCTCCTGGAGACAGGACTGGCATTCCTCCCACAGGCCTGGGCCCTTTTTGGGAGGGGTGGTGGTTAGGAGACAGGAAGGACCCTAACACCTTTAGGGTGAGGCCACACTCAGGACCTGAGATGCCCCAGATTAAGTCCCGTGATCTGGGAGGAGGAGACCTGAGGTGGGAATTCGAACTTTCCACGTTGGTCCTGGCCACCCAGACGATCGGGTTGCAACATGACCTGGGCATCATGCCAACTCATGTGGGCCAAGGTTACCCACTGCTTGCCTGGCCAATAGAGTCCCAGCTTCTGAAACAAGGGCTCCAATCCCCCGGCTCATAAAAAAAGAGCCCCTCCACCACCCCCTTGCCATGTTCCCTCCTGCAACCAAAGGGAGGTAACTCTCCTCCCCCTGCCAGGACCCCTGGGAGCTTGAGGGCAGGGGGAAGGGCAGGCAGTGGATGCCAGCATTTCTCAGAAGGGGGGGGAGGGAGGAAAAGAGATATTTGCATAGAGAGAGGATCAAGGTCGGCCTATCCCCCTTTCTCCTCTCCTATTCCCAGTTGATAATTTATCCCAATCCCTGGGTTGTTCTGTTCTTTGCTCTGGGAACTTTGCTCTGGAACATCCAGGGCACTTGGCCAGGAGGGGGGCAGGGAAAGGGGTTCCTATCCACCCCAGGGAGTACATCTCGGAGCTTCCACATTCTACATGCTCTCATCCTTTTTCAGTCAGCCCCCCCCAAAGCTCTCTTTGAGGCCCTAGGTTGGGACCCCTCTGCTCCAAGTTCAGAAGCAGTGGAGAGGCCATATGTCCAGGGACACCAAGCCTCGCCACTGCCCAGCTAAGCCCTCCCTCCGGACCTTGGCCTGGCCCAGAATGAGAAACCCAAGCGGGATGCAGCGCCCCCTGCTGGGACAGACGTACTGGGGGGAGGGCGAGCAGGAAGAAGGAACGGGGCTGGAGGCTGCAGCCTCGCAGCGAAGCCCTACCGCTAGCTCCCTCTAGGCCAAAGGAGCCCCTCCTTCCCCAGGTCCCAGGAGGTGAAATAGTGGATCAGGGGAGGTCCTCTGCGGAGCGAGGATCTTAGTGGGCATCCTGGCAGTAGAGGAAGGTCCCCTCCACACACTAGGATGGGGGTGAGGGGTTTTTGGGTGAGGATGAGCCTGGAGGAACCAAGGTTGGTGCCACTTTACAGCGAGAGTGGAGGGGGAGGGGTTAGATTAAGGGTTCGGGTGCCCGAGGTGAGAGGATGGTGGTTGTGGGGACCACGTGAGGCCCTTCGAATCTCCCGGAGAGCAGTGAGGGGTCCAGAGAGGCGATGGGGCATTCTGAGGAGGGGACTGAGGTGGGTCTGTCTAGGAGCCGCGGGGGGGGGGGGGGTGTTGGAGGGATTAGACAACTCCTGGGAACCCGTTTTATATCGGACAATACCCTGTCCCGGGGCAGGGGGATGGTGGGGATTGAGGGAAACGCAAGTTCTAGTGCGTTTTCCCCGAGGTGTTCAGGGACAGAAATCCCCGAAGTGCGGGTCTGTAGGAAAGGTCCCATGGCTGTGTCCAGGGTACGGCGCAAGAGGGGAAAGGCCCGGGGAGGTGGGGCTCCATCGAGTCTGTCCCGATTCGTCGGATCGGGAGGCAGCGCCCCCAGGATAGCAGGGGGAGGGACACTTGAAGGGGAAGGAGAGGGGCGCATCTCCAGATGGGGTTGGGGGAGTGGCAGGTCCGAAGGGGACCACAGTGCCTGTGTTCCCGGGATGGCGGGGGTAGGGGGCGCTGGGGTTTGGGGCGGGGCAGGGAGGAGGAGCTCTGGCGTGTCTGCCCCGAGGTGCCAACGGAAGGCACCGAGGCGTCCGAGGGGGAGGAGGGTCCTGGCTCAGGCGAGGTTATGGGGGTAGCTCAGCGAAGGCGGAGATGGGCTCTAGGGGAGCCTGCCCTGCAAGGGGAGGGGTGGCCGCGGGTCCGAGAGGGAGGGGGGAGCCTTGGGACAGGCGGGACAACCCAGCGAGGGGGCAGCGGGCTCTGGGGGGGGGCGGGGGTCGGGCCTCGTTGCCCGGCTTCCGGCTCACCTGTAGGCCAGGCTCATGCACTCGAAGAGGCGGGTGAGCGTGGGGTCAATGCTGCGCGGCCCGAAGTCCCCGGGCCCCACGGGCCCCTCCTGGGTGCCACGCCGGGGCACCGCGTCGCTGTGTGGCGACGACACCATGAAGTGGCCGCTGTGGATGACCTGCGGCGAGCGGAGCAGCGAGGCGGCCCCCCGCCGAGGGCCCGGCCCCTCTGAGTCGGTGTCCGAGTCCGAGTCCGAGGCCGGCGCCGGCTCCGCGCGCGGCCCGGGGAAACCCCCGGCCAGCCCCGCTAGCGCCCCGGCCATCGCAGCGGCAGCGGCGGCCAGTCCGCCCCGCCCGCCGCAGCCCGCTGCCTCCGGCGTCCCGTCCGGCCCGCGCAGCGGGGCGCTCCTAATTAGCATGTCCCGCCCCGCCCCAGCCAGGCCCCGCCCCCGGCCCCGGCCAAGGTGCCGGGCCGGCGGGGGTGGGGCGAGGAGCTCATTAACATAACATATGCTCCAGGTGTGCTCCGAGCTTCTGGGCCCGCCCGGGGAGCTGGAGGGAGAGGGGAAGCCTGCCAAAAGCCTCCAAAGCTGAGGAAGTCACGTTAGCATGGACTTAGGGCTGGTCCAGCCCCAGAAACTGAGGCCTAAAGAGGGGCCGTGACTTCTCCAAGGTCACTTGGATCGACTCTAGGAGGGTGGTTGTGGACTTAAAATGTCAAGTGCTATATAAATAGGTGCTCTTATAGCTATCTTTCAGCCAAGACGCGCCACCTCTCTCCTCCCAGGCTTTGCACCGACCGTCCCCCCTGCCTGGAATGAACTTCACCTCTGTCTCTTAGAACCCTGCGTTTCTTCAGGGCTCCGATCAAGCCAAGCTTAGACATGAAATCTTTCGCGTTCCCTTCAGCTCCGAAATCTCTCTTTCTCAAAGATGCCTCTGTATCTATTTCGTATCCAGTCATCTACTTAGGTTCATTTTATTTCCCTAATAGAATTAGGGAGCTCCTGGGGGGAAGCTTAGGAGGGACTGTAGTGGTTTTTGTCTTTGTCGGCGTAGTTCCAGAAGCATTGTAGGGACGGGGCTAGATCCCTCGATCTACGGCGATGGGTCTGGAACTTTTTGGTCCCAGGACCCCTTGACAATTCTTACAAAATTGAAGCCCCAAAGAGATTTTGTTTCTGTAGGTTCTGTCTATGGACATTTACATAGTAGATTTTAGTACCATTGTGAAAATACCTTTCACTTCCCGTACCCCCTGAAAGGGTCCTGGGGACCTCTGGACCATACTTTGAGAATCATAGGAGCTCCTAGGTGGGGAAACTCCCTCTACCATTGCAATTGGCCACCCTCTCTACAGTGTATAATTTTAGAGTTGGAGTTCTTAAGCTGGGGTGTGTGAACTTTAGAAATAATTTTGATAACTGTACTTCAATATAATTGGTTTCTGTTATAATCCTCTGTATCTTATTTTATACATTTAAAAATATGTTTCTTCTTAGAAGAGAAGTACATAGGCTTCATCAGACTGCCGAAGGGGTGGAGCCTACTCAGACAAGCTTGTGAGCGCAGATTGTCAAATTTTCTGAGTGACATTATGGAAAATGCTATCCGCATCCAGAGAAAGAACTGTGGAGTCTGAATGCAGATCGAAGCAGACTGTTTTCTCTTTTTTTGTTTTTTCTTTCTTGTGGTTTTTCCCTTTGTTCTGATTCTTCTTTCACAACCTGACTAATGTGGAAATGTGGATAATACGATTGTACGTGTATAG